GACAGAATAAGAATTACTTTTCTATACAGTTATGATAAAATATTTCTATGCTATGATTTTGAACAAATGTGTAAATGCAATTCTACTTTTAGCCAGTAAATATTTCATGAACTGTAGCTATTTCAGACATTGTGTTGAATAGCTAAGATACAACAATGGAAAAGACAGTGTGTTCAACTGGTAGGTGGTCAGAGTGTGTGAGGTAGACACAGAGAAACCTAAGGTGGTAAAGGGTACAATTATATAGCTCTTCTGGGGTTAGAGGGTTATAAGGAGAACTTGTGGGTGAGGTGCTAAGACATTAGAAAGTCCAAGTAGAAGAGACATTAGGAAAATTTGTGGAAGCATTACTAATGGTTAACCAACCACGGGGTTTCTCAACAGTAGTGCTATTGACATTTGGGGCAGAATTGTTTGTTGTACATGGTTAGATGTTTAGTAGCATCCCTGGAATCTCCTCACTATGCCCTAGAAACTCCCTTCACTTATCCATCCTGACAACCAAGTGTGTCTTCAGATGCTGCCAAATATCTCAGTGGGGGTAGGATATGCAAATTGTCCCCATTTGAGAACCACTGGTTTAGAGAAACATGGAGTAGATCAGGATCAGGACACAGTGTGTACAATGATACAGGACATGGAGTAACGTGGGGCAATACTAATATGTTCACAGTTGATAAAAAAAAGTAGCTAATACTTATTATGCACTGTTAAATACAAGACATTAGGCTGAGTTCTGTGTTTGTGACGTCCTATTCAACCTTAGGCATTTCTACTATTAAAACTCTCTTGAGAAGACAAAGAAATGTGTCTACTATCACACAACAAGTGAGACCAATATCCAATCCCAGGCCAAGTAGGCTCAGGTTGCAAAGCCACATATGTTTGAGTGCACTGTATGGCCAAAAGCTTTTCCCATCTGGAGTAAAGAGTGCACACAGGCATTGTAAATGATATGGGGATGAAAGAGAAAGTCTCAGTTGCCACCTACAAATTTACTATGGACTGAAATGTGAAAACAGTGGGGAGTTCCAGATATAGATTTCATGAGAGAGAGGGAAGGAGAGCGATAGGGAGGAAGGGAAGGAGGGAAAATGGAAAGGAAGGAGGGAGGGAGAGAATTGTTAGCAGAGAGGATGAAGGCAATGGCAGACAGTGAAGGTAACTGTTGGACACAGGTTGGGGGGTTATAAGGAGAACTGTTAGGAAACAATTGCAATAGCTCAGGTGAGAAATGTCAAGACCTTAGCTGGGACAGTAAAAGTAGCAGTAAGTAGAACTATATATATGATGATCTGGTGACCAGCTGTCCTGGTGACACACTGGACACAAGAGCTAATTGTCTTTAAGTGCTTCATGAATTATGGATCCTAAATGGACCTCCATGGGAATGGCCTATATCCCTTTCCTTCCCTCCCCGCCCCATTTCCCATCATGCCTGATTGTACTGAGGCCACTAGCAGCAGTGCCCCCTGCATTCTCTTTTATCATTCAAAAGACATTCACAGGGTGACTAGCAGCACATAACAAATGACACCAATTTGTCAGAGTTTACTATATGCCAGGCATGATGCTCAGTGCTATATATACATTATCACATTAGCTCCTCTTGACAACTCTTCCAAAGGTCTTTGTTGTCCCACTTCCCAATACAATAAGGCTCATAGTACTCAGACATCAATGCTCACACTACTCAGCTGACCCAGGATTTGAATCTAGATTTATTTGATCTCAAATCCTTCCCAATAACCAAGTTGCCATTTTTTATCCCTTTGAAACAGGAAAGAAATAGAAAGTACCAGGAGTGTTTGGGTCCAGAAGGTCAAATGGAAGAAGCAACTAGGAAAACAGAATTCAAGGTATAAATAAATTGGGGTTGCACATGTGCACACACATTGTCTTGCCAAAACAATGGGAACACATGTACAACAGGAAAATGAAACATACCTGCAATTCTAGCACTGAGCGAGGCAAGCACATGGGGACCACAAATGAGTCCTGCTTGGGCAACTTAGCATCTTAATAAGACCTTGTCTCAAACTAAAAAATAAAAAAGAATTGAGGATGGAGTCTGGTGGTAGAAACACTGGGTTCCATCTCAAGTACAAAAAAAGAAAAATGTTGACAAGATTGTTTTTAGAGGAAACCCTAAGAGTGCATCCTCAAGAATGTGAGAAGCACAGAAGAATGAGGCATGGATGGCACAAGCACTGTGGTACAGGAGAGATGACACAAACAAGGGACAGAGAAGACACGATGCGCGATGTGGGCTAGGGATGGTGTGGTGCTGTGTTACTGCCTTGGGCTTATTGGCAGAAATAATGAAAGAGGTATCCACCCTTACAAGGCTGAGTAGCTACGGGGGGAGGGGGCAGCGTACAATTGTATTCACTGTTGGAAAGCAAAAAGAGGAATCTCTGCTAGATGCTGGGTAGCAAAGTGTCTAATTGGAGCTCAGATTTCTGTGTTGCACTTTTTTAAACTTCCTGTCACCTACTGGGCCATCTATGCTTTATCTTGCCCCTGGGTCTGTTTTCCCTCTGTCTGTCTTTGACATTCTTCAGTTCTCCCTAATAAGTTTAGCTGACTTTTTCCAGTAAAGAATTAAGCATTAGCCAAGTTGCCCCTAGAACACGCCAACTTCAGCCACTCTCTCCCTTTCCTTCTCATTCTCACCCCACCCTTCCCCTCTGTCTTTCTTGCTGCTTACTTCTTCAGAACTACTTCTCCTGCCTGTCCAATTCCTCTCCCTTTCTTATGGGCACTGGTTCTCCTTTTTCTTTGCATCTACCTCCTGTTCCCTAAAGGTGCTTTCTTCTTTCTGCCCTTTGCTCAGAGAACAGAAGCCAATAACTACTCCAAAAATCTGTAGAATAATCAGAATGTAAAGAAAGTTAAAATTAACCCTAAACAAACCTTCAAAATAGGGATGCATGGGTTAGGAACCTTCTTGTCTGCTTCCACAGCGGGTAGGGTGGTGGTTCTCAAACCTTAGTGACCCCAGAAGGTTCAGTTATTAAAACACTGACTGCTGGGCCAAACACCCAGAGTTTCTGATCCAGCAGGTCTAGAAGTGACCTGGGAATGTGCATTTCTAAGAAGTTTCTAGAAAGTGCCGAAGGTGCTGGTCAACGTGCTACACTTTGAGAACCACTGGAGTGGGGAAACTAAAAGCTGTCAGGAGGCCAATGTTCAGCTGTGCAAGATAGCGATGGAGAAACAGTGGAGGGAAGGAGGCTTTGTTCCTGATCACATAGACAAAGAGACTGTAGCAGCCTGGGATACTCTGAATATGAGATCCAGAGGACATGTTGGGCTGCAGGGAGGAGGGGGGAACAAGTAGGGAAAGCTCTGTATCGCAACCTTCTGGGAAACACGGAAGCCAGCTCCAAACCCCGTCATCCACCCTCCAGCTTGCAAAGCAGCAGAAGGGAATTCTCAGGATCCCTTTGATCTCTTCCCAGATCCCCAAGTCCTCTGTCTGTTTATCTCCCTCCTTCCTTGGCCCCTTCTCCCCCCTTTCTACTCCCTGCCCAGTGGATGATTCACTCCCCCTCTCTCCCGCCTCCCCACCTACTGCCATCTGTTTTTCTAATGAAGGCAGAAGATGAGCTGGTTTGTTGGCCCACACAATAACAAAGCACACTCCATGCTAGCATTTTTCCTGATGCACTCTCAGGACACTATTTTTTATGGGTATACTTTCCCCACCCAGTTCTCTCTTTTCCCTCAAACTCCATACTTTCCCCTTCTCTGGCATCATGTAGATCCCAGTTTCCCAGAATTAAATCAAGAGATAAAAGATGCAGAAGAATAAAGGGATTAATATGCATGTGGGCTGGATATTTTTTTGGGGAAAACTGGAAAATGAATGGTAGTTAAACCATTCTCTCTAGCACACCAGGTGGAGCCAGAACTATCGGGCATTGCTGCGGAGTGGTTTATTTATTTGCAGAGGGAAGTCTGGATTTTAAAGTCATTATGACTGAGAGTAGAATACTTGTATCTGTCACAGGCTATTCCTTCACTAGGAAGTTTAAGTGGGATGTTGGGAGAGTCTCCCTCTCTGCATCAGGATTCCTTTGTGATCATCTTTCTACAAGGCTCTGCCTCTTTCTTGACTCTTCTTGGTGAGATTAGCTCCAGTTAACCTAGCTAAGGAATTTCCAGCACCTTCAGTTCCACACTGGTAGAGGAATTCATTGTGCAAAGAAGCAAACAGGATTTCTTGAAGTAGTAAAGGTCTAATTTGGGTTACTCATATCTGGACTACAGGTCTCCCTGGGAAGTTACATACATAGGTGACTGTGTAACCCAGGAAACAACTGTAAATGAAAGAAACCCCTCAGGTGAGTGGCCATGGGGGAAGATGAGGACTGGATAAATGTAGTGAGTTATCCTCTGGGGTTGTAGTTGCTGCTCAGATCCAAATAAGTTTGGCCATTGCTGCTAGATATTCTTGTTTTATAAGAGAAAAATCTTTGCACAAAGAATTTTTTGCTATTTATTTTTATTTGAGGTATTTTGCTATTTATTTTATTTGTGTATATGTATATTGTTACATATGCACATATGAATTTATGTAGAAATCTCAACACCAAAACTTCTGTAACCAAAACAAAACTGTTTTTAGATGGCCTGACAGCCCAGTCTATCTTACTTGGGCCAATCCTCTGCAAAACACTAATTTCAAACAAAGCCAGTTAGAGAACCCTAAATCCATAAATAATTCTGACTTGCTTTTTAACTTACTTTTATTAAGTCATTTAAAGAGGAACGCTGAAAACTTTGCTAAGACAAAACGAAAGTGAGAAATCCTACTACTCCAAAAATCTGTAGAGTAATCAGAATTTCCATAAATTTGAAGTTGTGGAGATCACTACATACAAGAAACCAAACAAGGAAGCAGGGAGTGTATGGGATCTTGAATAGAGAGAGTCAGTGATTCAAGCAGACTACAACTCTCTAGCCTGGGTTTAGGAAGAAGGAAACCAACTTACCTCACAGGACTGGATGCAGTGGATCAGGAGAGGGTCTGGGTGCCATTGACGCCGCCCGGTGCACACAATGCTCTAAAGAGGAAGACAAAGACCCTTAGATATCAAACCCAAAGATATGTGTCCTCTGAGAGAAGAGTCCTGAGCTTATTCCATAAGTCCAACTCCATTCATTTAGGAGCAAGACCCTGACCACACATCCTGGAGAGGGCAAGGCTGCCTGGCCTTTCCTGTGAAAACCACTAACCCTGTGGAAGGTTGTCGAAGCAAAAACACTCAGTGGGGAGAAATTTCTGCATCCTTCTCTTCTCCAAGATATCAAAATTTCCAGAGTTACACAAGTGTAGTTTTTCAAAAATCTTTAATATTGTAGTGAATTGAATTTGTTCCTAGGCACAAAATTGATGCATTTATTTTGAAATTTTAAATGATATAAGAAGTTATGGTTATGTTGATTAAGAAACATCATGGGATTTTAAAGGCTGACAACTACAGCTGTACATAAAGAATCTTCAGCTAAAAGTGGGTGCGATGGTTTGGATATAGTTTGAAAGAGATCCCACAGGGTCATATGCTGGACAAAACAAAACACACCTTCAGAAAAGAGGGTGGTTTGGAGATATTTGATTTATTTGGGCATAAAAGATATGGACTTGGGGTTTAGGGACACATAAAAATGTTACATTTTCAACTTTAAAATTTTCAATGCTGGGTTCCCTTTCCCCTAGTAAAAATGCTATCATTTTGGACTGAACTTGAAGTCTGAAAAGTTGGTTATGTTTCTTTCTGTTTCTTCTCATTTGTGCAATTTTGGATAGGTCATCCAACAGTATCTAATATGTATGTAAAATAAAAAAAAATCTTTTCCTGGCTTTTGGTTTGTGATGAGAGTAAAATGAAGTGACATATATGACTCTGAAGACAATAAACATTATCCAAATGTAAAGTATCATATTTATTAAAAGAATCAAGTCATTGGAAGCAGAATAGAGAAAATCATGCAATTTAATCCACTGCTTTGTAGTTTTGCTAGATTCAAAGGTATATGAATTATGGTATGTAGTGGGGAATTTTCATGATACAGACAAACATCATTTACTAAAAGAAATGAACTATGCTTCAAGCAAGTGTAATTGTACTTAAAGTGTTATTTTTAGTAGAAGTATTTCACAAAGCATTGCAGTGGAATTATGTGAAGTACTTTCTAAAGAAGCATATACTAAGGAATCCTCACTCTGTCTGAAGGGTGGAACTTATACCGCCCCCCTTACATACTGCCCAGGTGATTCTTAAGGACTCCAAATTTAAGATTGAGTACAATATAGAACAATCCCCTGATAAGTCAATTTGAGTTATAAAGATTTTACACAATGTGGAGTTTTATTTAATACAACTGCTTTGATTTATGAAGCACTTTTTTCTTACTTATGAGACTACAAATCTGAAAGAATAGATTTCATAAGATTATCTTTGGTTGGTGCATAGTGTCATTTTAGAGGACCTGACATACATAAGGGCAATCCATTCATCATCATATCCATAGCTTCTGTTGACAGTTTTGGTTGTTCTTATACACTAGGATTTCAGCGTCTTATTTGCAGAGTAACTCTTGCAAACTGTGAACAATACTCTACACTCTTTGTGGAGTCACGGAGACAGCAAAGGTAGCAGCTTATCCACATCCACCATGATAATTAATGGTAAGTATTGGATTAGTATTTGATTTTATTTTGGCATAAAAGATACAGATTTGGGGTTCAGGAATACATAAGAATGCTACATTTTCAACTTAAAAAATTTTGAATGCTTGGTTCCCCTCCCCCAGCAACAAATTGCTATTATAAGGTAAATAAGGTTTATTTTTGTTACCTCAATTTTTCCACTACATTCTTGGAAGTAGCCATTTACTTCGCTTTGATTCCACAAAGAAATACACATCTCAAGAATCCCCCTAAAGCAGTTATTCCCCTCTCCTGCTGCAAACTATGGCCAGCCATGCAGTTTGGTTGTTTCCCCAAATCATGAAAAGCTGAGCAATAATACTGGGGATAAGGAGAGTGCAGGGACAAAGGAAAGAAGCAACCAGGTCTCAAGTAAAAATGGTGACTGAGGAAGAAAGATTGCTCTGCACCAAGCCAATTATATTCTTGGCTTCATTTTTTTTTCTAAAGAGAAAAACATAAAAATACCAATAAAACAGAATTTCAAAATAGGTTAGTAGGTTACAATAATTAATACTTTGCATATTGTTTTCTTCCTAGTAGTTATTCAGAGTACAAGATATAGGCATGATATCTTGTCCAAACAATATTAGCATAAACCTTTCTTTTCAATGAACTAAGAGAAACTAGCTCTACAACTATCTTAACTACCTTGTGTATAAATATATTTTTTCTTTATCCCTTTCTTCCTTTCCCCTTTCCCCATCCCAGTTTCTCTTTTCTTTTGAAGAGTTTCTTCCCAATTTACAATATTTATTGTACAGTTTGAACCTTATTTACTCATTAAGTAAATGAGTGAGTTTACTACTCTCGCACTAGTCACACAGTATGATGTTTACACATATGGGTTTGATTCATTTCATTTATGAGTAAGGTCTCAAGTTGCCTATAAAAGTCTCCAGTTTACCTCCATTTACCTATAAAGGTTTCCAATTTGTCCTTTATGCCTGAGTAGTACTCCACTGTGTAGAAAAACCACATCTTTTTCAACCATTCCTAAGTTGATGGGCATTTGGGGTTTCCAAGATTTACCTATTACAAATTGTGCTGCAATAAGCAGGGGTGCACATATATCACTACGGTATGATATTTTTAATTCTTCTGGGAAGATACCCAGAAGGGGAGTAGCTGGGTTGAATGGGACCTCTAATCTTAGATTTTTAAGGAATTTCCACATTGATTTCCACAGTGTTTGCACCAGTCTACACTCACACCAACAGTGGAGAAGTGTTCCTTTCTCCCCACAGCCCCTCCATCATTTCTTGTTGGTTGATTTCTTAATGATAGCCTTTCTTTCTGGGGTGAAATGGAATCTCAGTGTTGTTTTAATTTGCATCTCTCAAATGATCGATGATGTTGAGTTTTCTTCATATATTCATTTGCCATTTGTATTTCTTCATCTGAGAAGTGTGTATTCATCTCAGATGCCCATATTTAGATTGGGTCTTTGAATTTGGGGAGGTATGATTTTTTTCAAATCTTTATATGTTCTGGGTAGAAGTCCTTTTTCTGAGGGACAATGACCTATAATTTTTTTCCCACTCGGTGGGTTGTCTTTTCACTCTGTTGGTGATTTCTTTTGTTCCACAAAAACTTTTTAATAAGATGAGATCCCATTTATTGATTCTTTGTAATATTTCCCTTGCAGTCTTGGTTTTGTTCTGCCTATACCTGTGTCTTCAAGATGTCTACCTATTTTCTCTTCCAGTAAATTTAGTGTTTCTATTTTAGATCTTTAATCCATTTTTATTTTAATTTGGTACATGGTGATAGACATGGGTCTAGTTTTAGTCGTCAGCCTGAGGAAAGTCAGTTTTTACAGGAAAAATAGTCAGTTTTTCTTTCTTCCAGTGAATATATTCATAAGATAATTAAATTCTATCCATGTATTTCTCACCTGATTCTCAGTTAAGCCAAGGATGTGAGTATTATCCCCATTTACACAGAAATGAATAGAGGCAGAGAACAGTAAATTGAGGTTATGCAGTTGGTAAAGCACAGCATGTGGTTACAAACTTATATTTTGTAAAAATACACTTTTCGTTACAGGGTCAACAGTGATTTTTCAGTGTTATCATTCTCAAAACTATGCCTGGACAATCTATGTCCAAACCAAGAATTACTGATTACAGGGCATAGTCATGGCAAATTCCATAATATGATGACAATGTTTATTGTACTGATTTAATAACTATCCCACATCTTCTTTCTAAAGCAGGCAAGTTGATCTTTGACAAAGATGTGATCATACCTAGGAGTAAAAAGCTCTGCAAATGTACTCACCCTTAGGAGAAAACACATATTTACCTCATGACTAGAAAATGGTGCTATGATTTTTTTGCTTCCCCTTTATAAGAGATGTAAGGGAGCTTCATCAGCACCCTCCCCACACCGGCACCATTGTCACCAGAGCACCACATCTCTACAGACTTCTCATGGGGCTCACATCCACAGAGGGATCCTGCCCTCTCACCTCTGTCCCATCTAATCCTTTCTCTCCTATCTTTCTTCTCTAGATCAGAGTTTCAGACACAGAGGAAAAGTGAACCCTGTCAGTTGACCCTTCCTCAGCTTCACCAGGCTCCTGAGCTACAGTCAGTTGCTTCTCCTCAGATGTTCCCAAGTCATTTCTTCCTGAACCAAACCACTCCCCATTGGTATAAGTGTCTTTATTCAAGGGTAGACCGAAAGTCTCTTCAACAGAGCAACTACCATTTTCATCTCCACATCCCAATGCCTGGTACATATGTACATCCCTATGGCACATAGTAAGCCTGAATGAATATTTCCTGGAGAACAAACAGTTGAATCGACAGGGCTGTGCTATGAGGTGTGATCAAAATATACAGTCAATGTTTAAGTAAGAATTAAAAATTAAAATGTTCTTACAGTAAAAGGCACATTGCTGTTACTCCTCCTCAAAATACTCTCCCAACCTTTGAACACACATCATTCTTGCCACTTTCTGAAGCAGGTCTAGAAGTCCTTTTCCGTGAGTGTCTTTATGAGTTATAATCAAAAGTACAGTGAACCCCGCTGCTGAGTGCCAGCTGATGGAAACATCGGCTTGTAAAAATATTATGGGGTGTCTTCTCCCACCATATTCACCAGATTTGATACTATGTGACTTCCAGCTCTTCTCCAAAGGCAAAAGGATCAGGAGAGCTAAATGTTTTGAATTGATTCAGAAAACAGAGATTAATACAGCAGTGCAATAAAAGTCACAAAGGAACGATTTCAGAAAATGGCAAGAAAAATGTGCTTCCTTGAAAATAAGGCCTAACCAGATGCATCTAACCAGAACCAGTCTTAGCTGGTAGTTGTCAAAGTGATGCCCAGTGTCATGCCAAAGATTATACCTCTTTATTCTCTTGCTCAATGGTTACTCTGTAATGGCAGGTAAGGCAAATATAGGCTGAGAAAGCCTGGCATTTTTTTTCTGGCTAGGTCTTATTTTCAGGGAAACATGGTATACTTCAAGTGAGAAATATTTTGAGAGGGATAAATGGCAATGTGCTCTTTACTATGACCAATTAAAGAATTTTTGATACCAACCATGTGTTTGATCACACCTTGTATTTTCCATGTCTCACCCAAATCACAATTAGAGTACCTTTTCTTTGATCCTTCTTCTTTGATTAGCCACTGAGAAAAAGGAATTGAGAATTATTTCTGAATGAAAAGTGTATCGCTAGATTCCCTAGTTTGGTCATTCTATAGGAACAACTTTGTAAGGATTTTGTTAAATAACCTAATAAAGCAACTAAACTCTTAAACTTTGTGACATTCTCATATTCCACCATTCTAAGAAGAAATAACTCATTTACAACAATTAGCTCTTGCATAGCCTTTTTTTTCTCTCTTTCTCTTTTTCGTGTATTCATTTCACAAATACTTATTGAGCACTTACCATTTATCAGGCACCATTTTTAGGATCTGGGGAAGTAACAGCAAACAAGACAGACAACAATCCCTCACTAAGCTTTTTATTCTACTGGCAACAAGAGACGATAAATAAGATAAATAAGGAGAATGCATAAAATACCCAGCAGTCATAAGTCTTAAAGAGTAAAGGACTCAAAAATGTTAAAGGAATCAAATTTTAGATTGAGTAGACAAAGAAGGCCTTCCTGACATTTAGGACTGAATATGGAAGAAATGAACGAGCAAACCATGGAGGTATTTGGAAGCGCATTCTAGGCAAAGCAAGCCACAGGGCAAAGGTTCTGAGACAGGAGTGTGCCTGGTGTACTCAGGGAACAATTAAGAGGTCACCAGTGGCAAGATTAGAGAAAGTCAAGGAAAGTATGTGGGAGATGGAGTCAGATAGGTAAATGTGCTTCCTGGAGACAAGGGAATCACAGAGCTGAGGATCCAGGTTTAGGAGAATCAAATGTACAGATGTGCAAACCAATGAGACTTCCATGGGAGGAATCCCCAGGAGTTAGAGTGTTTGAGAAGTAAGGAAAATGTGTTTGGCCTGGATGGTGCATAGTTTATTCTGTTAGTGTCAGATTCCAGCATGGATGATTGTAGGGAGGAGAGAAGAAAGTGGTTTAAAAGTGGCAAGGAGAACAGAGGAAGAAAGTGACAAAAAAGATGAAGCACTTTGCTTCCTTGAAAATAAGGCCAAACTAGACCAACCTCATCAGAACCCTCCCACACAGGATCCTCTGACAAATCCACTGGTAGAGGGATGTGAGAGAAATCGGGAGAGGTGTTCAAGGAGAGGAGAAGTCTGAACAAGAGCCGGGTTTCGCTTAGAGTGGGAGATGGAGACAGGACAGTCCGTTGTCTTCTCACTCTGTTCCTTTACTCTTTCCCTATTGTCAGTTTCATATGTCTGTTTCATTCATCCATCTCTTTTCCTCCTTCTTTCATCTTTTCCCTCTTTCTGTCATATTTATAAATTCATTTGACTTAACCTTTCTTGTTCGATTTTTCATTAGTGGTCATTTTTTTCCTGGTGTTCATGTTTTTGAGCCTTCTTTCTGTTTTATCTTTTAAAGTTCCCTCTAGATTTGGGCCATTTTATTTTCCCCCAGCTTTCCTTCTTTCACTACTGGATGTTTCATCCTAGTATTTAGGGATGATCCATATGGTTGATTTTAAAGCCTCTGAAATTACCCCAGAGGATGCTCTGTCAGTTGCTCAGCAACCTTACATATTTGGCAGATAAAAATGTCCCTTCCCTCACCTGGACTTTGACAGGTTCCATCCAGTGCTCCAGCTTGTCAGCAGTGATGTTCTCTGGCAACATGACGGGATCATTAGGGGGGATTATACATGACAGGGAACACATGGCACCTGAATGAACACAAATTTAAAGCAGAAATTGAGCCTCTCAGTTTGCTGTCTTTTTCATCTCGCAATCAAAAACTTTGATATTCTAAGAGCAATTGCTCTTCACATTGTGGTTCATCACATCATGATAGTTGGAGACAAGCCTGATACTCATGCAATGTGTACTTTTAGAGATATTTTTACATGAACTGGTAAAGAGTCACTCTCACAAGCTAATTCCCCTTGCCTCAAGTGTCTTGTCCTCTGCCTGGTTTGGTATTCCTTTTCTCTGGGATTCATGAGTCTCTGCATAATCCAGTAATTCTGAGACTGATTCCTGATCCAGCAAACTTCCTAGCCCCATTCCAGCTTGCTAACTTGCCAAATTCTATCCTGATTAGCTGATGCATTTTAAGTATATCTAATGTCCTTCCTGCTTGTGTGGTCTCCTGGAAGCTGATAATTGCAGCAGCTCCTACCTAAAAGTTTGACTAGCTGAGGAAAAAAAGCCAAGAAATTATGAAATTATTCCAGGGATATCCTGTCAGTTGCTACACTGAATATCATTACATTGGCAGACAGGGAACCTGTGTGATTAAGGAAAGAAACAACCAAAAATAAGAAGAGATTTGGGCCATTTGTTGGTCCCTAGAAGGCAAATCTTGCTGTTTTCTTCATGGGAGATCCAAGCGTCTTTTAAAATTCTATGCAAGGCAAACATCCTCTCGGGGTTCTGTTTCTTCATCTATAGATCCGATGATCTCCAAGCTTCTTTTCAGCTCTCAGGGTCTATGTTCAATTGTTTTTCAGTAACTTTTATAATATTAGAATCTTACATCAGCCTTTAAGACTCTAAGTACTTGAGTCTATGATATTTTAATGCAGAAATTAGAGGCTTTGAGGATAAGAATCTGTTTATGAAATACCACTCAAAAGACATGTTAAGCTTCCTGATCCTCCAGGCTTGACCATAAGACCTCACAGTGCAAGGATACTTTGAAGATGGCAAAAACACTTACAGGAACTCATGGGCATTTTAATGAGCTTGACTTATACTCAATAGTATCACACAGGTTAACATGTTTTCTGAAATTACTCCTTGCCTATGCAATTCAGAATTTAGAAGTAATCTCACAAGGTTTCACACAAAATACAATTCTGTTCTATGATTTTTGGGACAGTCAGGGAAATGTGTCAACATCAATGTAAATCAGCTTTGGCCACAAAGACTTTAATTGTAATTACTTGAATTAGAAGTTGCCTACAGGACCTGGAGCCTAGTCCTCTGTAGAGAATGAAAGGCTGAAAATTAATACAAGTAAGTGCAAATCACCCCTTTTAGGAACTCTGCATTCTGCTAACAACTGCTAAGAGAATGGAACATCTTCCCCACAAGTTATGGCTACATATCCTCTCCTTTCCTTTTGGAACTAAAAATACTGCTACATATCCATCCACTATCAGCTCTGCAATAGAGTGGGTAAAACATGATCAGACAATATAACCAGCCATACCAATTTTATACATGTGTGGAAGGTTTAAGAGAACAAATTTGATTTGGGCATGGTAGCACATGCCAGCACATAGAGGGCTCAGGCAGAAGGACCCCCTCAAATTCAAGGCAAACATAAGTGCTTACGGTTACGTATATTTAAAATATCACATAATCAAATGATGAGGACAGTTTGGGCTATACAGTGCATTCAGAACCAGTCTGAACTACACAGTGTGATCCTGTCTTAAAAAAAAAAAAAAAAAAACTAAGCAAAGCAAAGAAAGAAAAAACAAATTCATTATGAATTTTATTTTTACTGAAGCAGCCAAGAATTAATTTGCATTTCCATTTGCTCTTCAAAGAGAATGTGTAACTGATTTCAGATCAAGACAGGACCAACAAAATGATGGCTTGGGAACAAATATCAATTGTTGGAGAATACTATGAAGCAGCCCCGAGCAGCACTTAAAATAACCAATTGGCTTTTTATGTTTACTTGTGATTCTGTCCAAATCCACTTTTCTGGAAGTGTATGACTGACTTCTAGTAAGTGAACCTCTGTGAGTCGCTATCCCTACTAAAGCCTATAATGGCGGATGAAGCTGAAAAACCTCAAAGGACAAGACAAGATTACAGCCAAGGACACGTGTATCTAATCTCAACTAGGTAAAGACTATAGCCTCAAGGATCTCATTCCTGGGAGGATTAACTTAATCCTTATTAAGAATTAATTTAATACTTTACTTGGAGAAGTCCTTGAGTTACTCTGCCCTCCTTGAGTACTCCCCTTCCTTCTTCTGATAACCAAATAAATGCTGGCCACCCAGAGAAGGTTTTGGTCTTAGCCCTCAGAAAATCTTGAATTTTGTGAGAAGGCTTTGGTCCTCCTGGAACCCTGAAATTATTCCATTCGCCTCTTTTTATTTAGCTTTCACTGGACACTCATTTGGGAACTTTTGGACCTGATCAGCCTGCAATAGCTGAGGGATATTATTAACGCAATTATAAACATTCCTTCCATTCCTTACCAATCCCATATCCCTGTTCACACTTGTACTCCAGGAAATCCAGCTCTGAGGTGGGTGGAGGGCATTCCCCTTGAAGGTTCTCACACAACTTGAACTCTGGTGTCCACTGTCCCTCTTTAGTGCAGACAATGGGAAGCTAGAATATCAAAGGTAAAGAAGATCCCATTATTGTTTTGCTAACTTCATTAAGAACAGAGAAAAAGTGGTCTAATTAAATGGGGATGTACTTCAACTTCTAGAATTTGGACTAAAAGATGCTATAATTGTGTCGGAAATAGCAAAACTTAAAAAAAAAGAAAAAAAAAAGAAGAAGCAAACCGAGGCACTTTCTTACTGTTCCCATGTTTAAAAACGTCATGAACAATTTTGCCACTGATGAGATTTATCGGCAATATACTTCCTTTCAGATGTAAGGAGCTACTGATTATAGCCCAGGTAACTTGAGTTATTTTTGGAAAATTTCCCTGGATGGCATTGCTTCAGGTTGATTCATGCATACTGTCATAAAAATGCTGCTTTTTGCAAATATCTGGGGGTTTTTTCAAGATAAATTTTGTTCTATGAAACCAATTTTTAATTTTCCTTAAAGGTATATTTTTTGCCTTTGTATTAGAATAAACATATAATTGTTGCTTTTGTTCTCTTCCCTTTCTCTACATGTGTGCTGACTTGTATAATGCTTAACTTCACATTTACAATAATCACAAAGTATACTCTATCTAGAACAAACAAATCCCAAGAAAATAAGATTTTAGAAATATAGACACTTCTCTCTTTACCTGGTCAAGTCCTTGATTCTTTAAAACAATCAGTGGAAACATAAGTATTTGACTTTCTTGGGGTCTCATGACAAACTTCTTTCATATCTGTTCTGCAGTGCTTACCTTTGAGTGCTGGTCACTAACTTAAAGACATATGGCAAAAGAGCAGTCAGGGTTGACTGTTGCCTAAAAAGTCTGTTTAACTTCCTGTCTCATGTGTATATGTGGGGCTTGAAAAGATTCCACAACAAAATTTATTTTAGTCACTCAACCACTTAAAACTATACTTTCCACAAGCTGCATACTCATATTGATGTATTTTATATTTTCATTTGAGATCTTCTATGCTAAAATCCTAGGGAAAATAACAGTCAAGCAGCACTTTGAGCTTTGTTGAGGAATTTGTGTTTCTGTTCATACACACACACACACACACACACACACACACACACACCAGGATTCCAGAATTATTTGGAATGTACCCAGGTTTCCTATCCATCAGATTCTTCTTCTTACCCCTGAGGAAGTTCTGAACTTGAGAGAGAATATTCCTTTTTTTTTTTTTTTTTTTTTTGGATACTGGGAATTGAACTCAGGACCTTGCACTTGCCAGGGAGAATATTCCAAAGGCACATTATCTTTTGAATTTCCTATGGAATAGTACTGTGTTAACACCTCTGGTTAGGACCCCAATTTAGTAAGACTGTCCTTGATGGGATTCTTTTCAATAATTTTGACTCAGAATTCTTGGCATGGTAATCAAGATTCGAATATAGCCTGATCCCAGACAAAGTTCGAAGAGTCTTCCTTACCCTTTCACTTTCCTGGTTACAGTGAAGCACACACTGGCTGTCCAGATTGAAGCCGTTGGTACACTCATACATGCCTTCAAACACAGGAGAAGGAGGCTCACACTCCACTGGCATGCAGCTGCCTTGCTCCCAGATCCCACCTTCTAGGCACTGTATCTTCAGGATCTTGCTGATGAAACGCGAAACAAAATTGCCCATCAGACTCCTCAAGAAGGTCAAGAGAGAAGACTAGATCTTCAGCAACACATGATAAGGATTAGCAAATAGGCAGGGATGGATTGTTCTCGTTACTCATCTTCCTGAGCACCCCAATGTAATCTCAAAGTCAAGAAACAAAAGTGGTAATGTTCATTAATTAGCAGTGGTAGTAGATATTGCATAGTAATATTTGATATATTACTCTCAAGACAGTTTGATAAAAAGTTTAGCATCTAGATTGCTTATAGCTCTGTTTTCTATGAGATTTGCATCTTGCAGAAATTTCTCATCTAAGTACACTGGAAAATGCTGGTATTATGAAATACACAAAATATTCTCATACACACATTCAAGGGGCCAATCAAATGTAATTTAAGGATCATCAGTGCTGATATGGTGATATAATTAATGAAGCTGCTAATATTTCTTGGTTTTTTGAAGAGAAGATGTAGTAATATGAGTATTGTTTTAAAACAGAGACTCAACCTAACATTGAAAAGGAAACTAACCTCCTTAAAATTGCTATAACTGCTTTGTTTGTAAATCCATTTTTCCCTGGAAAACGTTCATACCTTTTGCCAGATTCACAGTGAAGGTTATGACTTATTATTGTCCTGAAAGAACTGTCCCTTCCATGCACAGACATGACCTCTAACCAGAAAGACTGGCTTGAGGTGGATAAGAGTTAAAAGAATTTGGTTTCTTGTTACTGCAGATTCCATTCCATTCCCCTTCTGACTCACTGTAGTCTGAAAGTGATTTCCAGTTGTGCAGTTTTAACATACCTGCTTCTGACTCAGAACACTCCTGGCTGTAGAAAAATTGCAACTCTAAAATATAAATAGCCTTTGGCCATTGACTGTTTCAATCACACGGTAGATTTCTAGTGTCATGATGCCCTTTTTGAATTTCTAGCGTCATGATGCCCTTTTTGAATTTCAATATGCCCACCACCCTATGCATGCTTTCAACTGATAATTGTACAAATGGCTCCCATGTGCCTGTCCAGTCCTCTAACCTTAGATTTACAATCATTACATTGTCATATAAATGTGTCCATGTCTTTCCCACTAGATTGGAAGTTTCCAGAAGACAGAGGCTGTGCCTTATTCTTGCTTTATGTTCTCAGATATTAGACAATATCTCCCTTATATTAAATTTTAAATAAAGATTTGTAGACTTGAACAGCATCAGGCCGACTGCTGGGCACATTATGTAACAAACTGAATCACCGTAACACTACTAATAAAATAATATTTGAATCTCCATTGTATTGATACATGCACTGAGAGATGCTGGGTTCTGTTTTCTAAGATTTCACATCACAGAATGCACTTGATTTCAAAGAATTATGAAAATATTTTAATAGTTTAGCATATCTTCATGATCTCTAAATAGAACTGGCATGGTGGTGCACACCTGTAGTCCCAGCACTCGAGAGGCTGAGGCAGAAGGACCATTGTGAGTTTGAGACCAGCCTGGGCTATGAAGTGAGCTCAAGGCCAACCTGAACCACATAGTGAGACCCTGTCTCAAAAAGGAAAAAAAAAAACAAACAATTAGATATAGGTGGAATGTTTTATTATTTTTAAATTATGTAGAGCCATATCTTTATTTTCAGAAATATTTTAGGATAGAAATATGATTGATGACTTGGATCCTGTAGTATTATGGCCTATATGAACATATATCTACTATCTATTTGTCATAAATATCATTGTAAACTATATTTCAGATGTTTAGGAGTACACCTAGGCATGTTACTTATTTAACTCTTCCCAACAACAAATACCTATAGTACTATTTTCCCCACTTTACCAAAGGAAACAGCCTGAAAGGAATAAAAATCTTGTTCAAAGACCCAGAGTAAAACTGCAGGCAGGCTGACAAAGCCAGTGGTCCTTCACCATAAAGGCACGACTTTTCCTGCTCTGCTCTGTAGCTCGCTGCTTACATGCAGCACTCCATTCCACTGAATATCCCAGGTGCCCTTGGTCCTGATGCTACATCTACAAGTGTGGCAAAAATTCTTCTAAAAATGCTTGAACTGAATAACAAATTACACATATAAAATACATCAATATGAGTATGCAGCTTGTGGAATTATTACATGTAACTACAACTGGGTAATCTGCTCAAGTCTAGATTATATACAACATTTCATCCCGTCAGAATTTCCCCTTGTGTTTCTTCCCAGTAAAATCTACCTGCTCCTACAACATACAGGATCCTGCAATACACACATTCACAATGTAGATTAGCTTTGCTTGTTCTTGAATTTTGCGTGAGGTATCCCACCATGCAGTCTTTCATATATGTTTTCCGTCCCTCAAAGAAAATGACATTTGGGGTCTTCCCAAATTGATGCTCAGTGAAGGGTTTGCAATTCTTTTACCGTAGTGAGGCTCCCTTTATCCCCCTCCTGAACTGGATATTTTACTGTACTTTCTCACTATAAAGTTTAAATTCTCCAGGGACTCTTTCCTTTCTACCATCTCCCACAGACGCAATCGTTCCCCTACCTCTGCTGAATTGACAGCCCCCAGCTGGAAAGAGCAGGTAATACACTGACACCGGGGAAGAGGCAGGGCTATAAAAACCTTGCATGTCAGCATGGTTATGAAGGAAAACCCTTGCTTGGCCAGCATGATAATATTTTTACTTCATGTGGTATTTTTCTCTGAATTGGTTGGAACTCTTCAACCATGGAAATAGTCCTCCTTTTCCGTGCCCAGAGTGAGGAACCATTCAAGAATGTTGGTTTCATATATTTCCTTGCCAGTTCAATAACCTCAGGGGTGAGGGTAGACAGATTTAACTTGGATGGGAAAAGGGAGTTTGGGTATTTTGGGTGGTACCCAGACCGTGTGACAGGCCTGTCCTGCAAACCACCAACAATATAGGGAGGGAGACTGCTACAGGGTAGCAAGAGAAGCAGTGCAGTTTACACTGGGTCCTTGGGCCTGGGAGCAGGCTCCTGGGCAGGAGTGAGGAGATGCTGGGAGAGTGTCCTGATGCCCTCTGAAGTCCAGTTTCCTTTAGGAAGAAGTTCCTGTGCCTCTCACAACCTCATGCATCCACCTTCCTTGCAGTTTCTTCTCCCTTGTAGAGAAAATGGTCCTGTATAGCCATCTTTCCAAGGGCCTTTCCCAGCCTCTGCATCTCTCTACATTGAATAATGCTCTTTAAATTCTGCCCTAAGACTTTTCCCAAAAGACCCAACTGGTACCTTTCTCCTCATTGCTTAGTAGTGAGCAACGTTTCATTCTGCCTGATGTCCATACCGATCTAACCTCACTGTGCAAGACTTGAGATCCGTGGTATGGAGCGTGGCACTTCAGTGTAGTGGGCTCATTCTTGCCATTTTGTGTCAAAAGACATTGTGATTATGTTAAGAAACCATGAGGCCCTGGATTTTCCCAAGTTTTAGGAAATTTAGTGTCTTTGTGAGGCTACCAAAGGGTACTGAAGCCTAGGTCACACCACTTACCCTGCTTCAGTTTCAGCTACTTAGTGTTTTGGACTGACAATGGGGATCCTCCATCCCCACCCCAGACATACACTCTGCCCAACTCATCATGAAATCTTAACCCATAATGTGCCATGTGAGGAGGGTGAACCATTGGGAGGTAATCAAGTCAAGAAGGTAGAGCCCTCATCATGTGACTAGTGTGCTTTAGAAGAAAAGATATAGAACCTGCTCTCTGCACTTGGACACATGAAGATACATCAAAAAGATGGCCAGCTGCAAAGCAAGAAGTATTCTCAGATAAGGGATATGCCAGACTTTCAGCCTCCATATATGTGAAAAGCAAATGCTTGTTGCTGAAGCTACCTAGTCCATAGTCTGTTACAGGGGCTTACACTAACCAAGATACAAGAATGGCAAGATTTTAATCTCCAATGCTGCCTGTATTTCCTTTGGTGTGGTGATTTTGAGGATGAGCTCTGACTCACTTGAGATCATTAGTGAAAAATGGGTTTCTGGTCCAACGCCTTCACATAATATGTATACATCAAGAGATAAGAGACTCTGACATGGTGGAGTGAATGGCTTTGCATCTCAAAGGATGATAGCGCTGGGTACTAGATCAATGCACACATACAGGCCCCTACCAAGACAGACATCCAAAATCTTTTTTGGTAACCTGTTCTAAATGTCTGTCACATAACACATTTTTCACCCCAGTGGAGGGAGGGAAACTACAGTATCTCATTTTAGTCAGGTGATTAACATTAGTGACCAGGTACCTGACTCCCTCAAGCTCACACAACAAACAAGTCACTGGTAAAAGCTAGAATAGATTTCAAGGTTTTCATAAAATAAAACACCTCAACAATTACATCACTAGTTTCCAAATAAAATTTGCAGATCAATCCTATCAGAATCACATAGTGATATTTTAGAAGCCTAAATTGCAAAGCCTACAGAACCAAATCTCCTGGGATTTGCCTAGGACTCTATATTTTTAAATTTTCAGTAGTTTTTATATGAAGTCACAGTGGTAAACTATGAGAATTTCTGCACCTTCCTATGCTAGTAAAGATAAGTAGAGTGTAAGGTCATTTACTTAACAGGCCGTTAGCTGTCCTACTTGGGCTTTGCTGAGCACTAGCCTTTCAGCTAGGGCTGTTGGATAATCTTCCTCTCTGATTTCTTCCTTATTCTGTAAATGGTATCATGAGGAGTTGGGTTAGGGTAAGGTTTGTATTTCTCATCCTTCTAACTTCTCCAGACAAATCACCACAGTTTCCAAGTTAGAAGGTGCTTTTTCCAATTTCTAAAACTTGTGGTATCCACCTAGAGCTGAAAATCCAGCTGTGCTTTTTCTGCTTCTTACATCACTGCCAGAAATAAAGATCGTGTAATCAAAACTTGGCTGCAAGTTTGATTGATGTTGCTTGAGGCACACATGAGTCTACCCCATCCTTCTATCACCACTGAAGAGTCTTCAGAGTAATATTTATGTT